TTTTTTTTTTTAAAGCTTTTTGTTTTAGGGGAGAAACAAAAAAAAATACATTTTTTTTTTAAAAAAGAAAATTTTTTTTTTTTTTTTTTTTTTTGTCCTTTTTGAGACCGGCCACACCACGCTCAGCCAGTGAGCGCACCGGCCATCCCTATATAGGATCTGAACCTGCGGCGGGAGCACTGCTGCACTCCCAGCGCCCCACTCTCCCGAGTGTGCCATGGGCTTGGCCCAAAAAGGAAGAAGATTAACAATTACTGGGTAGCCCCCTGTATTTCAGGCTGAATGCTGGCCAATATATGCATTAGACTCAAACTGTTGTTCTACATGTTCATATTACAGTGTGAATCATTTCCAGTTAAATCCCAGACAACTATGTACGGTTATATGTAGTTTATAAGTATATATATATATATACATTTGTTGAAACATTCTCAAGAATCTGCTTCCTAGGTAGTTGGTATCAGTTAACCTGCCCTCATTCATCCGTCTGGTTCCTGAAGTCCCCGCTTGAGCTGTTGATAATTATGAAAGTGGGAAATGCCTGGTGTATAAACTTAGTTTTTTTTAAAGCAGATGAGCAGTTATTGCATAAATATTGAATATTGTAAAAAAAATAATAAGAAGGTGAATAAACCTTGATTGAAACACTCTATGGTTCAATAAATGAGAATTTAGGTAAATAGTAAAATTTCATATTTAGAGAACATGCTAAGTTGTTTAATTTACTGCATGTTTTATTTTGAAGACGGAAAAAGCATTATGAGGCCAAAATATTAATAAAAAAATGATTTTAATGCAGCAATTAAAAACAACAAAAAAGTTTATAAGTAGAAAATATCACCAGGTAAAGGTACAAACTTTCAAATCCAAGAAAATTGTTCAGAATCAAGACCCTAGTGTGGAGAACAAAGGAAGGTTACATGTTAAAGAAATTCTCCTGCTATTTTCTATTTTTTATGTCACACGAGCTAGCATCTGACAAGTGCTACTTTATATGAAATAAAGTGGTATCTCAAGTCTTACTTCTAATGATTAGTGGCCTGCCTCACTGAAGCTCTAGACACAGATGGATATAATTGATCTCTGTGAGGGGTTGTCAAGAGGGAGCTGTTTTT